AATTTTTTCTAACAACAAACGCACGTGTTGAGAAGCCCGCGCATGATGTGGGTCAGCAGCGATTACAATACTTCATGTTAGGGAAACCCATGTACTTTATATATATTATTTAATAATTAACAAAGTTTCCCTTGTAATTTCTAGTTTCACTTTTGTTTCTTTTACCTGAGCTGTGAAGAAAAGAGTTCATAATGCTTCAATCAAGTCTGAGGAGAATCTCAAGTCGGGTATGAAACGGAGAAATGCAAACTATTTTTGTCAATTATGTATGCACAAAGCCTGGCTCAAATATGACTATAGCTGTGAAGCTGTCCTTTACGATTCTTGTCTTGGCATATGTATTCGAATAAAGGCGTTGTAAAGATGTCACATTTCAAATTTTGCCATGAATTGATGAATACAAATAGTTGTCATTTTCATATGCCAGAATAACAATCGTATACAACTAATTGTCTAGTTATATAAATAACTAGCTATAGCCCCTTGCCGGCTAGAGCCAGTCATGCGCCCTTGCCGGGTAGACCCTGGGTAGCCAGTGATTGTGCATGCCTCTGCTTGCTAGAGCCAGTCATTGGGCCTTCGGGCTCTGCTGGCCAGATAATGGGCAGTTTCAGATTTGACTGCTGCCTCTCACTGGCTTAATAGTTACGCAGTTGATTGACCCTCTCTTAAATTATGTGGGCCAGTACAGTACCAATATAACTCAGTAAATACCATTCATGTTACTGTGATTGACAAGCCATGATTCAGGGCTTGACATAACGTTCCCAATGTTCCTGATCACAGTGATTGGCATTCCAAAAGCTTCTGCCAATAATTTTTTCCGATCCTTGATCGTTGTGATTGTCTGTCATGTCAAGTCCTGTGATTATTCATAAATGTCACTCTCCAAAATACATTCTCTGCTGTCACATAGTATGTTGAAATTACATGAGATAATGAAACCAGCCATGCTGTCCCTTCAATTTACAGCATATTTGTCAACAATTAAGATATACATCTCGATACTTTGGCAAGAAGAAACAGTTCCCTTCAAATACGGTGAGTTATCATAGTTACTTGCAAACAAATCATAGTTTTCTGAGCTGAAAGAACAATGTTTTTTTGTGAGAATTAAAGCATAAAATCTAAATGGACCTAGTTCGTTATTATAGGTAATAAATTTTGTTCCTCAACAAGAAGCATGGGTCATTGAAAGGTTCGGAAAATTTTCTCGAGTTTTGGAACCAGTAAGTATCAGATCGTTTTTTAACAGTATAGTAGGAACAACAATCTAACCTGTAGCTAGCCTGCAGAAAACAGCCACCTGGTTGTCACAAGACAATCAGGCAGATGTATTTGCAGGCTATAACCTTAATATTGCCAGCTGTACAATATCTTGTATTGTGAAACGTTTCTGGGAGTGGATTTTTTATTCTTGTTTTATTATTAGGGTCTTGCAATTCTTATTCCTTTTATTGAACAAATTAAATACGTACAAAGTCTAAAAGAAGTCGCAACAGAAGTCCCATCTCAGTCTGCTATTACGTTAGGTAAGACAAGACTATCAATTTGTCAGGTAAAAATGTGTTTAAAATGAAGCGCTTTTAATAACTACAGTTTATAATGAGAGTTGTTTTTTATGTATTTTTCAGACAACGTAACTCTGCAGCTCGATGGTATTTTATATTATCGCGTTGAAGATCCTTATCAGGTGAAATGAGTGTTTTCTTGTCTGCCCGAAGACTATATACATACAGATATGAGGTGTTTTGTTGTTGTTGTTTGTTGCTGCTGTTGTTGTTGTTGTTGTTTCTCCTGCTGTTGTTATTGTTGTTCTTTGTTGTTGTTGTTGTTGTTGTTGTTGTTGTTGTTGTTGTTGTTGTCCTTTGTTGCTGTTGTTGTTGCTGCTGCTACTGTAAGTTGTTGCTGTTGTTGTTCTTTGTTGTTGTTTGTTGTTGCTGTTGTTACTCCTGCTGCTGTTGTTATTGTTGTTCTTTGTTGCTGTTGTTGCTGCTGTTGTTGTTGCTACTACTACTGTAAATTGTTGTTGTTGCTGTTGTTGTTCTTTGTTGTTGTTGTTTGTTGTTACTCCTGAGCTGCTGTTGTTGTTGTTGTTGTTGTTGTTGTTGTTGTTGGTGTTGGTGTTGGTAGTGTTGTTGTTGTTGTTGTTGTTGTTGTTGTTGTTGCTGCTGCTGCTGCTGTTGTTGTTGTTGTTGTTGTTGTTCTTTGTTGTTGTTTTTTTGTACTACTATTTCATAGAAAATGTCACATAATGTTACATCATGTTATATTTGCCAGGCTTCGTATGGTGTGGAAGATTGCGAATACGCCGTCACCCAGCTGGCTCAGACTACAATGAGATCTGAATTAGGTAGAATTCCTAACTTTTGATGTTGTATTTAATATGCAACTGTTTTATTTACACAAAATTCATCCCTTACGTTGTTTATGAAAATTCCAGGAAAGATTACACTGGATAAAATTTTCCAAGAAAGAACCTCGCTAAATTCTAACATTGTCAGTAAGTATACGATATGATTGTACGCTATTAGAGACCGCCCATTATTTATGACGGAGGGCGGCACCCAAGAGAAATGTCTTTCTTGGTAAAATTTTTGCTGATTCAACCATCATCCTTTATAATAAAAATAATTTTAAAAATGTGTGTTCACTATTCTGTAGATGCGATCAGCGAAGCGGCGTCTGCCTGGGGGATTAAATGTAAACGTTATGAAATACGTAAGTGCAAGGATAGCTATCATCAGTAAATAACCGCGAACACGTATTCTATAATTAAAAACTGTGTTACTTAACTGTAATTTATTCCAGGTGATATTCAACTACCACCCAAAGTCAAAGAAGCTATGCAGATGCAGGTTTAAACTGTTATAGGCCCATTTCCATTCAAGAAAAATTTCAACGGACAGAAAATTTTCCGAAAATGTCATTGTTAAAAGTTGAAAATTTTCAACTTCAAAATTTTTTCCGACGGAAAATTTGTGTCGACCAATCACATTTTGAGTGGAACATGTGCTTTTATACCGCTAAGCTTTCCAGATTTGAAACCAATGACTTTTTTTGCGTGCAACCTCGCTAACGTAACGTGTTTATCGTTCATTTCTTCGTTGATAGGTTGAAGCTGAACGTAAAAAACGAGCAGCCATACTCGAATCTGAAGGTAGAAATTATTGCAAAGATTTTAAAACGAAGAGTCTCAAAACTTTTCACATAAATTTACCACGTCACGTAAAGATAGGTCTTTGTAAAGATATTTGTGTTGATTTTTTGTTTCTGGTGCGCTATGCACTCAAGTCAGGTGAAGATATAGAGTGATAACCTCTCTATAAATATTTCATTTCTGAGCACATCACTACATTTTCTCAGGTAAAAAGGTAGCCGCGATCAACGTGGCCGAAGGGCAAAAACAGAGTCAGATTCTTGCTTCTGAAGGTCGAAAAATGGAACAGATTAACACGGCGACCGGTACGTAATTATAACTTGATAAATGGTGCAAAAATTGGTGCGCACTGCGTACATGAAGGAAACCTATAAACGTATCAATTTCACATTAATATTTTCACCACATGTAATGATTTTTCTTTCAGGTGAAGCGAGTGCGATTCTTGCGAAAGCGAACGCCAGAGCGGAAGCCATTCTGAAAGTATCAGAGTCTCTGTCACTTAAGGTAGCCACAGCTGTAGTTGGTTGTACATATATGCTCACTTGGATTATCCACCAAACCCATTCTCTGGCTATAGAGCTTCGTTTTCGTTTTACATTAGTTAAAGCCCAACTGAATAGGCTCTATAGTCAAGGTGATGTACGTTCCGGAAACGTGTATTTGTTAGTCCTCAATGTGACAAAATGTAAAAAGAATATTCTAAGGTCCAGGGTACAGTGAACGAAAGCCAACACCTAGGTTCTTTCAAAGAACGATCAAAGTACACTAATTCTGTTCGTTAACTTTGTTTCAGAGTGGTGATAACGCCGCGGCACTCACTGTTGCAGAACAGTATGTTCAAGCATTTGGTAATCTCGCCAAGACAAGTAACACTGTGATACTCCCCGCTAACACGGGTGACGCCGCATCCATGGTCGCTCAGGTATTAGCTTAAACCAGGCGCACACACTGCGATTTTAGTCGGCCGATTCAGGTTTAGATGGATGTTTTCAGCAAAAACAATCAGTGATAGGATCTGTGGGCTCATCTACATCGCCAGATTTGCCAATATCATACACCTAAACCTTAAATCGGCCGACTAAAATCGCAGTGTGTGCGCCTGGCTTTAGTTTCCTTCATTATGACCTGTGCATTAGTTATCTGAGGCCCAATGTGTCATTTTAACAATACGCTTCGAGGTGGTTTACAAGATGTAATGAGTACCGTATTTACTCGATTGAGCGCCGCCCCCGATTGAGCGCCGCCCCCGATTGAGCGCCGCCCCCGAATGAGCGCCGCATTTGAGATCAAATTTTTTTAAAGAGCGCCGCCCCCGAATGAGCGCCGCACTAAACAGTGTAAAAACTTTCAGCCGTCAAAATGGGTACATTTAGTAACAAAAACCTTTTAAAACTTGTCTATTTTATAGTTAAAAGTTCTTGTCATAATTCACAAATAAAATATTTTTTAAAGAGCGCCGCCCCCGAATGAGCGCCGCATCTGAAGCTCTGAAAATTTAAAGAGCGCCGCGGCGCTTAAACGAGTAAATACGGTATGCATACTCACCTAAAGGGAGTTAATAATTTTCAATAGTTTTAGACCAAATTCTCCACGATGAAAATATGTAATTTTGGACACGGCGACTGGGACAATCAATTTTTTTCGGACTCGTATTTGCTCATTTTTTCTCCATATTGGATTAAAAACGTGTCATCCTGCAGCTAATAGCCTGATCTTTATTATTATGAAAAAATACGTTCATGCATCGAGTGATAGGCAATTCCAGCCATAGACTAAATTTTGATCCAGGCAAGAAGAACAAAATCCATCACCACAGCTAGAAAGAGCATGTTAAAATTAGTAAAATTTCAAAGTTTGGCCTCGAAATGTTGTAAAACGCAGAAAATATAGCCCTGCGAAATTAGCAAATTTTGTATTAATCTGTATTACGCACGGGAAAATGCACCCCATTTGGGCCGAAAGAATTCGCAACCATACTTTGCAATTTTACTAATTTTAACATGCTCTTTCTATAGTTGGCCGGCCAAGGTGGCAAAAAGTGCCTCTAAAGAGAGTTTGACGGCAACTTTATGTTAGAAGCTGGTAACAGGCATTTTCTTATAGTTCAAGCCTTGGTGAATAAGACTGTGTGTGTTACCACTTCTGATTTTTGCTTTATAGCCAAAAAATTGAGAATTTTAAAATTTTGCCTATTAAATTACTATGACGGCAAAAAATGTAAAATTTCATGTTCTCTTATACAAAAAATAAACTATACCACTAGAAAGATCGCAAAAAACTATATATAAGATAATTAAGCGACTAGTGCGATTTTCAAGCCGATTTTGAATTAAAGATGGTTAAAGTTGGCAAAATGGGTACTAATTAGCATTAATTTGGTCATTTCTGCATTTTTTAACATTAAAACCTCGAAATAGGATTGGAAAAACGTAGAACTCACTTAATTGTCTTATATATAGCTTTTTACGCTCTTTCTAGTGGTATAGTTTATTTTTCGTATAAGAGAACATGACATTTTACATTTTTTCCGATCATAGTAATTTAATAGGCAAAATTTAAAAATTCTCAAATTTTTGGCTATAAAGCAAAAATCAGAAGTGGTAACACATGTAGTCTTGTTCACCAAGGCTTGAACTATAAGAAAATGCCTGTTACCAGCTTCTAACATAAAGTTGCCATCCAGTTGTACAAATTGATGACCGGGCCGGCCGTCTACTAGCTATGGTGATGGATTTTGTTCATCTTGTCTAGATCAAAATTTAATCTATACCTGGAATAATCTATTAACGCACAATTGCATACCAAAGTTGGATTACATTTTTTTACAATGTATTTGATCTCCTATAGGCAATGGCTGTATATAGTCAGGTTTCAAAACCCACCACACCTGACGATCCTGACGACCCTAACGACCGAAGGATCACGCCACCTAGCGACGAATCGTCAGAGTCACATGACAACCAAAGACCGGAGGTGACGCATGCCGAAAGTGCGGGAACAAGAATGGATCATAATGTATTGGACACTCAGTGGCAACAAGTGTCCGAGCCAACCCATTTTACCGCCGCTAGTTCCCCGACTAGAAAAAGGGACTTCGCGTAGAGAGTATTGTAGATGGATAACAGATTTAGTAGTGACATGACAAGCTTGATGGGTTCCTGTATATGTTATACATGAAGTGAAGGTTTTGTCTCGGAACGCACGAAGTCGGTCGAACAACGGCATACAATCTTGAACATAACTTGTTGAGACCGTCTCAATGGCTATGACCAAGATTGCAGCTTCGGTCCGCTTTGGAAATGAATAAAAAGACATTTTACTCCACGGTGTGAACAATATAAAATTACATGAAGAAAAATAATAAAAATGATAATGTATCTTTCCTGTTACTTTCGTTACTATTATTTACATAAAATATTAAGGGTTTTGATAATTATTAAAGATACTTGCTTTTAGCAATAACCATAGGGCTAAAAATGCCTGAAAGCAATATGACGAAAGATATGTGATTGGTCAGCGAAAAAATTTGCCGCGAAAAAGTTCGCCTAGTGGGGGATGGTAAGTTATGTAAATGTTCGGAATTTCGGCGCTTTCATTATGACCAAACTCAATCCAGAACAGCGCCTTGTTTTGATTCTTTCACGTGCGCAATGAGCGGACATTAGGCTCTGTAGTCGACCGCATAAGGCGTGGTTTCATATCTTTCGTCATGTGACGTCATACATCCGGAACGTTTTGGCCACCATGGCAACTGCTTGAGGAACGATCTGATTCGTCGATTGTTATACCCATACACCACTGCGACGACCGATGCATGACAGTAATGTAACCACGCCACGATGAAGTCTACTTCCGGTGACAAAGCATCTTGGGACATCGCCGAGGCTATGTTCATGACGTAATACGGTGCTAAAAATAGACCATACGTCACAATGACGTAAGAGACACTCGTTATAGTCTTGGATTCGGTTATCGAGTCTCTGGAGCCTGAAATGTTGCGTTTCGTCATTCGGTCGTTATCACGTGAACGCCTGATGGCATCATGTCCGGTGGCGTCATGTCTTGTGACGTCATTGGTGCAATCATGTCTGCTAACGTCACGTCTATGGACGTTACTGGTGACGTCATGCCTTGTGACGTCACTAGCTTGAGTTTTACTAGACGATAAGGAGGATGACGAGGTTGGATTTGCTCGCATTGTTTTCGAGTTGTATCGCGTGATGACGCCAATTCTTACATACATGAAGACAATCGCTACGAAAGGCAGCACGAAACAGGATAATACTACCAGCACAGTGTAGGCCATACCAGCACCGCCATCTTGCCAGGAAAGAGTGCAAAAGCCCTTCGTGTCAGAGTACTGGTACGAGTTCCAACCGAAGAGCGGGGGGATGGCGAAGACGAGAGAATAAAACCAAGCAAAGGCTGTAATCCATTTAGCGCCTCTGTAAGTAATCTGAGCCGAGAACGTGTTCGCAATGGCCTGGTAACGGTAGATGGCGACTACGGTTACCATGACATTTGACGTGGACGTTAGAAACTGATTAAGAAATCCGGAAATTTCGCACCAAACTTCGCCAAATAGCCACTCGTCCATGGCGGTTGAGATCACGGCAAAAGGCAGGTTTATGGCTCCTATAGCTAGGTTTATCATGATTAAACAGAACAGTAGCATGTTCGGTACGTTTTTAATGCTAAAGTTTTTTACTAGTACCAGAACTACGCTGCCGTTGCCAACGATAGTTAGGAATAAAGTTAGCGATAATGCCAAGGTTTGAAGCGATTTCCGAGTCAAATTTCGTGAAGAATTTTCTGTGAACCATGTGTCAAAATCACGTGTACTGTGGTTGGAATCACTAAAAGGATCCATTCTGAACGAATTCCTCTATTACAACATGTCCTAAAGAGAAAATATTGTCACACTTCTGTGGAGTATGTATATGGAGCATGAGCGAATTTGCTTATTATTCAGTATACAATTTTGAATATTAAAATACAAAACATTGGTAGTGACAAGGACAGTGATTTTATATTCGTATGAGATGTCATTCCAAATCTTCCAATTGACCATTTGCGTAATAGACTAAATTTTGAACTAAACAAGTCTAGACAAAAATTTCATCACAACTTGAAGGAGCATCACAAAATTAGTAATATTCCAAAGTTTCGTTGCAAAATGTTGTAAAATGCGGAAAATATAGCCTTTCAGTCATTTTAGATTACAAACGGGAAATTGACAGCCCCAAACCCTTCGAGGCTGTCAATTTCCAGTTTGTAATCTAAAATGACTGAAAATTGCAAAGTTTCGCAAGGCTATATTTTCCGCATTTTACAACATTTTGTAACGAAACTTTGGAATATTACTAACTTTATGATGCTCTTTCAAGCTGTAATGAAATTTTTGTTGAGATCAAAATTTAGTTTATTACGCAAATAGTCAATTCTGACTGGAATAAATTTCAATTAAGTCCTCGCATACGCGAACTTGAAATCTAGTCCAGTCCTCATATAGTCGGATTTGAAACTGATATTACATCATGTATTCTAGACAGTTCTAAAAACCAAAGGAAATCCTTGTGTACTAACAAATGTAAACATCCTATATTTCAGCCTCGCTAGCTAGAAATCTCCTTTGACATAGCTGTTTTTGTTTTTAACTAAAGCAAAGGAGTGAAGCTTATCTTATACGGTATAAGCTTTCCAAAATAGTATGATATTTTAATGCTTATATTTACAAGTCGAGTTTCACTAACTCACTAAGGCTAAGCTTACTAGTCTTGTATTATAGTGGCCAATACAGTAAGTAGAATTGTGTGAAATCTACGTTGAACCCAATCTGCTGTTCTGTAACGCCTATTAAAACCCACAAGCAAAAAAAACACAAAACTTACCATTTAAAAAGAAATCTAGCTTTGTCTTTGAATCTAGACACTGTTCGACTACAAATACTTTTGATTTGTTTACCGTTTTTTGAGTACTTGAATCTAATAATGATAGCCACCTGTTCGGAGCTGTTTAAAACGTTTTAAAAAGGCCAGCGGCAACCACAGCGTACTTCGAATTTTCTTGGTTTTTAAAACAGCACGAAACGACAAATGTTTAACGAATTACACTGCCGGCAAACTTGTGTAGAAGCATCGTTTTAGGCAGAAATTTTAAACCTATGTAAACAAAATCTCTATAAGCATGTGTCAACATTGAATATTTTTCCTAGTAATGAGTCGCGGAGAATAATTTAAACATGGTTGAATATGAGACACGTTCGTTGTTCATGCTTACATGGCTAAAACAACATTTGTCTTGTTACAACAAATTGAATCTTTCTTGGAAATTGCACACGTACGGTTGACTTTCAAATATAAAAAATGTGTATAGTCATCATATAAAATCTTTTATTCTTTCAATTTCCGAGTGCGATGGCTGATATATAGCCAGAGTCAATAGATCATTGGGGCTAAGGCCACCAAACCTTTAGCGCGGATTTTCATGGTATAACAGTATTTCTACAGACGGTTTCTCCATGCAGTAAGTGTAGTACCTTTATTGTTACTCTTTTATGCAAGATTTCTTTTGATGTCTTATTGTAATATAGAATTATTTTCTACAAAAATTCTCAGCTTTTGCCGATGTCAAAAACAAAGCCGGCCGGTTCGAGTATATATTATATATATATATATAGAAAGACACAAAAACTTAGCAAGCTATGTTTGGCATATTTATTACTATACAGTTTCGTACCACGTAAATAACGTGGCACTCTTCAGATAAAATAGTCTATGTTTGACCATGTCCTCTATTAACTATGGTTTGACCTATAGCTTCTAACGAACTTTTTAAATATGTACAGATGGTATAAAGGACGCTTATCTAATTACAAATCAATTAAAAACTGCGGAATTACCTTAATTGATTTGTAATTAGATAAGCGTCCTTTATACCATCTGTACATATTTAAAAAGTTCGTTAGAAGCTATATGTCAAACATAGGTTATTTTATCTGAAGAGTGCCACGTTATTATGCTATTATGTACTATATATATATATATATATACATATATATACATATATATATATATATATATATATATATATATATATATATATATATATATATATATATATATATATATATATATATATATATATATATGTATATATATGTATATATATATATATATATATAGTACATAATAGCATAATAACGTGGCACT